GGTTCCGCAGAATCACGGACCTCCTCACCGCAGACCTCTGTGCTCACGTGGGAAGCAGCGATGGCAAGGGGCTCATGTGATATCCCAGGTCAAGCTCTTCAGGAAACCTTCGGGCTGTCGAATCGAGATGCCGTGGCGATGCAACAGAAGCATCACCAAGGCTCCAGTCTCATCCACACCTTTCCAACCCTCCCAGGTAAGCCAGCTTGCAGCTCTCGGTTCTGACTGGGGGGTTTGCCCCAACATTAAGGTGCCAACAGGTGTACCACTAGCTCATGCAGCCCCTAATTGGGTTTGCCTGCCTATATACTTGGCCTTGGCCAGTAGTCTGAGTTGTAATATATATATCTATGTATCTATCTATCTATATATAGATAGCTATATATATATCTATATCTAATAATCAAATGCACCAAAGCAGTTCACGGGGAAAACAAAAGAACAGCTGCTGTCAGTGATGCATTCCAGTCACTTTATTTCATCAGGAAATGACAACAGCGTTTAAAACAAGTGAGTCCACACTATATAACAGACGCACAGAAACTCTCATGCCATATCAACCTTACCACCAAATCTGCTGTGACAAACAGCACAACAGTATTACGCTAAGTGATGGGGGAAAACATACTGTCATGTGGCAAACAACGCAATGCGGCTGCCTTCCACTGTCATGTGAACCTCTGTCCCACAGTCACTAGTGTATGTGCTAAGGGTTGCACCCCTGGGCAGGGGCGCAACGCTTAGCAGTTAGGAGGCCAGTTAGGAGAGTGAGTAAGTGGTATTTTGATTTGGCAGCCAAGTCGAAACATAAAAACAAGTAAAACGAAGAGCTTGGGGTGGACCTTCCAGCCTTACTTCCTATGATCGCACCAAAGGCAATGTTAATACAATTTTTCTGACAGTTTCCAAAACTTTCTGAAACGAGGAAAACCTCTGCATTGGCAGGAGTAAGCCCAGAGGAAGCTTTGGGCTTTGAGGGTGCATCACCATTTAGAAGGGTGATCTGTTTGCTTCCCCCAGGCCCTTAGTGTTGATGCCCATGCCTTTCTCTGAGTTGTTTCTCCGCGTGTCACTATTATGATTCTTCCTGCAGACGGTGAGTGGGGTCAGTGATGGGCATCATGTGGCTTCCAGCCAGTTCAGCAAAATCACTGTGACCTCCTCACCGCAGACCTTGGTGCTCACATGGGAAGCAGTGACAGCAAGGAGCTCGTGTGAAATCCCAGGTCAAGTTCTTCAAGAAACCTTTGGGCTGTTGCACTGAGATGCAGCAGCGATGCAACAAGCACCACCGAGGCCACGGTCTAAATGTTTCTAAAACATTCAGTCTCCAATATACCCCTTAGTTAACACTGCAAGGATTGATGTATATGCCCCAGTGTCCTAATTGCTATGGGTACTGTGGGGTTAGCTAAATCCCCACAGGATTCCCAACGGGAAAAGGAGGGAGCCTGCGGCAGCAGCATTAACTCCCTGGGTTCTGGAGCTGCACTAAAGCTGCAGCTCTGGCAGAGATTAACACAACTGCCTGTATGTTGCTTCAGTTTTTTATATTTGGCCCATTGGAAGCCAGAAAAGGCAGATTTGGCTACTGCCTGTTTTTGCAAGATAATCTTTTTTAAGAAACATTTCTAAAAGCAATTTCAAATGCCAATAGCTTGGGCTCAAACACTCCCGTGACACCTGCGATCCCCAGCCTTATCCAATGGTGCTAGTCTAGGTAAGGACCCGACTAGATTGTGTTCCTCCTAGACAAGCTCAATTAAAAGTCTGAGCTAGGGGTGGCATCAATGGGGAAAATACATTCAAACCTCTCAAACATCCTTGCAGGTTTAGTAAATGAAGACCCAATCTACACGCACAACTCATACCACCTTAACGATAGAGTTAAAAGGATACAATCCCTCTTCCTCTTTAATACTGGTGCTGTTATCTTAGTATCAAGTGCTTATCCTGGAAAAGCTATTCCTGTAAGGGAAAGAAAGCTCTGCCAGTGTAAGGCGCTTTTATACCAGCAAACATGCATCCGTGCTAGTGGGTTGCACTAGTCTAACTATTTCAGATAAAACATCCCTTATGGAAATATTTATGCAAGTGCCACATGGATGTGGGTACCAGGCACACACAGTCTTGCTTGCAGGGAAGGTAATTTGCTTGTTCTTCCCTTGTGTTGACTTGGGTAGCTTGTTCTCCATCACGTGGGAGGCAGCAGTAGTGGAGTGCAACACACTTAAAGCTACCACCATTTTTTTTTTTTTTTTTTTTTAATTTGAAGAAAACGTGCCCAAGGCTTCCAGCGGGCTCCTTCATGTGTTTGCTGCATGCAGCTATCTGGCATTCAGCCACCCCAGTTACATAACCGTGCAAAACTTGGACTGCCCGGTATCTCTGGAGACATCGAGTTTGTTCTTTTCCCGTACCAGGATAGCTTCGTTGCCGTACTGCGAGTACCACATGCTCCGGCTCCGACTTAAATAGGTAGCCGGGGGGCCGGATTCCAGCTGCTGCTGCTGCTGCTGCCAGATAAGCAGTGAGGTGTCTCTGTATCGCAGCCTGGCATAGCTTTCGGATAAGGCTTTCTCAGCTAGCGGCACCCGGCCATTCATTACTCTGCTTGTCGTGCGCTCTGCAATACCGGCTCCCGTGTGCGGGGACGGATCCGCTGGCTAATCCCCGGGCGTATGTAGGGGTAGGACTCCTGTGCGTGGAGGGGAAGGGGAATCTTCTTGGGATGGGGTTTATGATACGTAAATCAGCATGTGCAGAATAGTGCCCGATAGAGGGCACTGGTAACGCACCAGCTCTTGTGTGTTACAGTAAACACCATGACTCCGTCGTCGGTGCAACCGCAGGACGTTGGGAAGGCCTGTGCTGCAGAACGATGACAGCACTAGATTGCTGCTTCTTGCCGAGGATTAATGCACCCGCCACCGCATTGCCAGCAACAGCTCTCCAGGAAGGAGAAATTGCTACTGAAGCAGAGGTTGACAGCCTAACAGTGGGCTCAGCAAAATCCAGGCTCATTAAACAGCTCGGAGATTTTAATTCGCCAGCTTTGGGTGTTTCTGCTTCTGCAAAGGAGGGAGAGGTGTCAATCATCCAGTGAGATCTTGGAAGTCAGCAGTCCAGGCTGGGGCCCAGCTGTTGACTGGACTGGCTGCACTGAAGCTGGATTTTACTGCTAAGCGGGGCCCGAGTTACCTGGGAAGCATCAAGTAATGAAGTCCCCTGGGTCTGGTCGATGCAGGGCACTTTAAGCAGCCGGCTTTGGTCGCCTCCAGGCGACTGACCCTGGGTGAGTTATCCAGTTGCCGGAGGCAAAAGAGACCTTCCTGGGAGAGAAAAGGCAAGAGGATGAGTGGATGCCTCAGAGGACAGTCTTTACAGGCCAGTTCGTGGGCTTCCTCTCACTGCAGGCCTGCGGCCCCCCAGGCGCTGCCCTTGCTCGGCTTCATCCGCACTGCAGCGTCAGCCTGGGAGACCGGAGAACTGCTGCTGCTGCCGCCTCGCGCTGAAGGAGCTCATCCCAGCCTCAGCAGTGTCCTAAATCCCTCGGAGACCGCCCACTCCCTGCTGGGGGCTCTTCCCTGCCCCCAGTCCCTGCCAGGGGGGCTGTTCCCTGCCCCAGCACTCCCAGTCCCTGCCCCCAGCACTCCCAGTCCCTGCCGGGGGGCTGTTTCCTGCTCCAGTTCTCCCAGTCCCTGCCCCCAGCACCCCCAGTCCCTGCCAGGGGGGCTGTTTCCTGCCCCAGCACCCCCAGTCCCTGCCCTCAGTACTCCCAGTCCCTAACGGGGGGCCGTTTCCTGCTCCAGTTCTCCCATTCCCTGCCCCCAGTACTCCCAGTACTCCCAGTCCCTGCCAGGGGGGCTGTTTCCTGCTCCCAACATCCCCAGTCCCCGCCAGGGGGGGCTGTTCCCTGCCCCAGCACTCCCAGTCCCTGCCCCCAGCACCCCCAGTCCCTGCCCGGGGGCTGTTTCCTGCTCCAGTTCTCCCATTCCCTGCCCCCAGTACTCCCAGTCCCTGCCAGGGGGGCTGTTCCCTGCCCCCCCCCAGCACTCCCAGTCCCTGCCAGGGGGGGCTGTTTCCTGCCCCAGTACTCCCAGTCCCTGCCCCCAGGACTCCCAGTCCCTGCCAGGGTGGGCTGTTTCCTGCTCCCAACATCCCCAGTCCCCGCCAGGGGGGGGCTGTTCCCTGCCCCAGCTCTCCCAGTCCTGCCCCCCAGTACTCCCAGTCTCTGCTGGGGGGCTGTTCCCTGCCCCAGCCCCC